GCGGCAAGGTCGTGAAGAACATCACGCACCACGAGTGGCAGCACGACAGGGTCGCCAAGAAGATCGTATACAAGTACAGTTGCAACCTTTGTCGCAAGAAGTTCACAACCCACAATAACTTGGACAATCATCTGCTAATGCACAAGGACGGCTTCAAGTGTACGCTGTGCGACGAGGTGTTCTCCTCGCCGTATTCTCTCAGCAGTCACAAGAGCACGAAACATAGACGCGGCGCGACATGCACAATCTGCGAGAGATCGTTCTCCAGTACGAGCAATTTTTATCAGCACGTGCTCACTCACGCTGGCATCAGGCCGTACAAATGCGACGTCTGCGGCGACTATTTTACGCAGAGATCCAGCGTCTTGAGGCATCGAAAGATTCATCCTGGTCCTCTGCCACCGTTCACAGAAACCACGTCGATAGCAGATATCGCGAAGAACATATTGCAAAAACTTTCGAACGTTTGAAGTGTAAAGTATTACAGCTAGATTGCGGATTGTGTCGTAGAGAAGGATTTGTTTGAGAGAAATTTTTGGAAAGCAAGACTCCGAGAGCGAGAGAGTCTTGTTTTACATTGAGCAGAAATATTATTAGATTGATTAAATGATTTTATTCCTTTGTTATGTTATCGTTGAACGAGTTTAAAGCCTGTAACAAGCGTTACGAAGACTGCTTTTAACGAGAATTTGGATTCGGAGAGACTTTAGAAGAAATAATCGCAGACCGTGTGTATTTTATATGATGCATGTCATATTTTAGTATTGTTTATTGGTTGGAAATCATCGTCATTTTATTTGAAACGAACACTTGTTGTTTTTCTTTTTTTTTTTATAATAAAATCTGCAGAAAATGATATCTATTTTGAATTATTTGAACATGTTGGAAAAATTAGAAACGATTTGCTGAACTTGACGAGTAGTAAGAATTTGTTTGTCGTGTATCGAGATTTAAAAGTGTCTGTCTGATGGTTTCATTCGGCATTTAAATATCGCAGTTTTTATACGATAAAGTGTGCATTAAACGACGCAAAAGTAAGTTGCATTTTCAATATATTTCCGATGTTAATCATATAAAATTTATATCATACTTGCAAGTCATACTTTCACATACATTATCGCAAAAGTTTCATAATTTTCCAGTTAACCAAAAAAAAAAAAAACCTTATGAATCAGTATTGAAGTAACATTAAAAACTTTGTTCTGTAGACACTTTCATTTATTAGTACACAATTATTTTTACAAGTAATTCAAATGAACCATCTAATCCTAGCACACTGACACATCACTGTCCTTGTTTCAGAGAAGAACCTATCCCAGGACTACAAAGAAACCGAGAGAGAAACTCGCCTTGCTGTTTAACAGCGGTCGATAAACGACCAAGAAGAAGATTGAAACGCGCAAAGTCGAAGTATCTCTCGGACGAATCTCCGCGCGACTCCATTGATTCGGACGACCTTGAGAATTCACAGGACGCACTTGGAAGAAATTCGAAGAAATTGAAGACAGGCGTCCGAACGTCCTCACTGACGAAAGAAACCGAATCTGTCCGTTCAAAGAAAGACGAGGTCGAAGTGGATCGCCTGCTGGACAAGATCAAGAACACCTGTCCCTTCTGTGAGAAGCGTTTCGACGACGCGAAGAAAGTGGAGAGCCACGTGATGTACGTGCACAGGAAACCGTACAAATGCGACATGTGTAAACGAGGGTATCACACGGTTCGTACGTTGGAGGAGCACAAAGTGATCCATCGGCCGGATTACTATTTCGAGTGCAAGATCTGCCACGTGAGGTACAAGAGCGAGAACAGCTTGAAGAGGCACGACATGCGCACTCACGGCGACTACGAGTCAAAGTACGTGTGCGAGCTCTGCGGACGTAGTTACAAGCTGAAGCCCGACCTGACGTACCACATGAAGAGATCGCACGCCTCGGAGTTGCAGATCTGTCGATTCTGCGGCAAGGAGGTGAAGAACGTGAAGGGCCACGAGTGGAGGCATCAGAAACGCAGCAAGGAGGCGAGGTACGAGTACACTTGCCACCTGTGTCGCAAAAAGTTCCTCCACAGGAGCAGACTGGACAATCACTTGAGGCTTCACGAGAAGGGTTTCAAGTGCGAGGAGTGCGGGAAAGAATATCGCGGAACTCGCGAGTTGATCAGTCACAGAAGATACAAGCACGGCCAGGCGAAGATACTGACTTGCGTCTTGTGCCAGAAAGCGTTCCCCTCGAGCAGTAATTTTTATCAGCACGTTCTAACACACGCCGGGATCAGGCCTTACAAGTGCGACGTTTGCGAAGAGGATTTCACGCAACGTTCTAGCCTTTTGAGACACAGGACCCATCATCCTGGACCACTTCCGCCATTGCACTCGTCTCGTCCGCAGATTGCTGAATTAGCCAGGAGTTATCTGCAGAAACTGCAAAACGACAAGAGTTGCGTTTTTGACGCGAGATTATTATGATCAATTTGAAATCACGTTCTTCGCGGAACGAAGAATTGTGATTTAGAATGTTTGGTCGATTATGGAAAGAGGGTGGTTTTTGCGCTTTGAAGGGTAATTAAGATTTTCGATGTTGCAGTTTATGCAAGATATTTACTTGAAATAATGGCTGACCATTTGAAAGTATTCTGTAGTAACAATTGCACTAACAACGAAGATTCCAATTTTTTATTTTTATGAAGATTCTGTGATTCCAATTTTTTATTTTTATGAAGATTCCGTGAGAATAATTTTCGAGAAGGAGAGTTGTTGAGTTATCGACTGATGTTGCAATATGAAGCGGTATATTGTTTTTTGTTATTATTGAATTTTGTAATTAATTTTATTATATATATTTACTTTAAGCTATGAGCTACATTTTTTCACAACAAACTCTTCGATTTTTAATTAATGCTAACTTGTCGGATGTTACAATATATGAGGCTATACGGAATAATATTTTTCGAAACATTTTATCTCGAAATATATATATATATATATTTTTTTTAAGATACTTTTTGAAAAGATACATTATTAATAAAAATATAGTGCACATGTGCACACTTGTAATAAATACATCTCTTTTTTTTTTTGAAGATATACTCTGAAGACAATACTTTTGTATATTTCTGTATATACTTAGATTACTACATTTAAAAATAAAATTAAAAAGTTGAAATAAAATTGAAATTATGTTATTTTTGATATCTTTTGTAGGTAATAAATAAAGCATAACGTTAAATATTCAGTTCGATTTATAAAAATCTGTATAAGATGATACAGATATTGATAAAAAAATAAAAAATTAATTTAGAAATTTTAAATCACTGAAAGAACTGAATTTGTCGTTTATTTATAAAATGATATTAAACGAATATATATAAAACAACTGTCGCATATTTACTTAGAAAATGCCCCATTACGATGTATATGAGTATTGTTGTCTTATCTTCTTTCATCATTGCCGATTATTATATTGCAATTATTTAATGTCGTTTCTTCTACAGAGTAATTATACGTAAGTTACGTAAAACACACAGTGACTATAGCCGAAACACACACTGAAAACGCTTATACGCATCCGAAGCTACTAGAGGAAGAGCATAACTACTTTTAAGAGACTTGCTGAAGTGACAGGTTTCTTAAAATGGCTACTGATCTTAGACACACACCAGAGTGCATGCTCTCGTGCGCGGGTTTAGCGAAATCGAACCGTAACGAAAGAAACGAAATGAAAAAGAAAGAAAGAAAAAAAAAACAAATATCACACTATCTCCTCTCACACATCCGATCACACAAGAGTGCAATCGACTGACTAGCTTTGTGATTTTTTAGGTACAATGCCCTAGACCCACTCGCTCCGACTTTTCTGATAGTAAAGCTAGAAGATAATTACTTTCGGATACCGACGTCGCTGAGCATGTTCATGATGAAGGAACCGCCACCGGGTTCCGCCGAAGAAACGAACGTTCAACCACCTTCGAAAGAAGATAGCGTTCAGCCGTCGACGAAGGCGAACCAGACGGACGAAAAGATGAAGGACAGCTCGAGCAGTAGCGATCCTTCCGAAGATCTCGACGACGCTCCGTTGGACTTCCGAAAGAGGCAGGAACGAGAGAAGAACAAATCGACGAAGCAGACGAATCACCCGAAGAAGAAGGTGCACACCTGCGAGATTTGTTACGCGACGTTCGATCGCAAGAGCAAGCATACGAGACACATGTTCAAGCACAGCAACTCGAGGCCTCACAAGTGCCCGGTTTGCGCGAAAGGGTTCAAGACCACTGCTCACCTAACCAGGCACATGGAGGTGCACGACGAGCCGGTCAACCTGCACGCGTGCAGCCTCTGTGACTTCAAGGCGCGCACCAAGCCCTACCTCAAGATCCACTACATCAGGAAACACACGGAGGACTACAATTACAAGTGCGAACAGTGCGGGAAGATGTTCAAGGTGCAGTCGGATTACACGACCCACGTGAAGGACCACGACACCGAGTCTTGCGTGTGCGACATCTGCGGCTCGTCTTATCCTAGCAAGAGCTCGCTGTACTTTCACAAGCATTACAAGCACAAGACGAAGGTGAAGAAGTTCCCCTGTCAGACGTGCAAGAAGAAGTTCAAGACGCAGAAGAACTTGGACAATCACATGGAACTGCACAAGATCAAGTACGTTTGCGAGCAGTGTGGCATGGAGTTTAAAACGAAATACGGCCTGACCAAACACCTGAGGACTCACTCCGGCGAGAAGTCTTACCTGTGCGCGATCTGCGGGAAAACGTTCGGTTGCCTCAGCTCTCAGAAGATTCACCTGTTGACGCACGTCGGCGAGAGGCCATACGTCTGCGACATTTGCGGCCAGAGTTTCACGCAGAGGTCGCCGATGATGCTGCATCGCAGGAAGCATCCCGGTGTCCATCCGCCACCACCGCCGATCAAAATAACCAACCTGTTGCACGGTGTGCAGGACAAAATAATCGTGAACAAGAGCGGCAAGTAACTCTGACGCGAACGGGATCACGCGCAATGGGGGATGCTTTTTGTATATTTCTCTTTTCTATGTAAACGTTAGAACAACTTTGAGGAAGTATGTGATCGAGGGCATCGACTGCTCGAACGAATTGTGAAAATATCTACCGAAGATTTCTGTGAGGTAGTTCAGTGCACCGTTAAGTCATTGAGTTCGTGTAAGATTGGAATTACAAGTACAAGTAGCGATCGATATGGCTGTACTATGTTCACCGGGCTACGTGATACGTAAGTCTTTCTCTACTTTTCGAAAACTAAGTTTGATCGAATGTGATAAATATTATTATCATTGTCAGGTAGCTTGATGTGGATGTAGATTTCGATTCTGAAGAGGACGTAGTAAATTTATGTTCGACCAGATTGTAGCGAGCTGTAGATTGAAACGTTCGAAACTCTTTGAGAATTTTGGATTGTTTTTCTTTTTCGTTTTTTTTCTATGAATGTTTTAAATTTTGTATTGATTGTTTGAAACAATAACATTTCAGCAATTTGTCACTGGAATCTAAATTTATTCCTGTGCAGTTTTTTCTTTTTTTTTTGAAAGATAAAAATCTCAAGTGTCAATTGAAGCGAAGTGAAACTTAACGAAATCTTTTGTATCTTTCTTTCGTTGCGAGAATAATCATTTCGCTGGGAAAATGACAAATGCACTATCTGTGAAAATAGAAATTTATTTTCATATTCGTTGCCTTCGATTCGTTCAACACACTGATGTAAGTACTCTGTACAGCATAGATGTATATTTGATGTAATATACGGAATGAAAGTCGCTTTTCGGTATGAAAATTTTCTCTCTCGTGTGTGAAGCCTTGAAAAGGCGAAAAAATCGACGAACGTGGTAGTTAAATGTCGTACTAAAATTCCACAGATATTTATAAATCGACAATTTACGTGAAGAATATCTTTTATATGTGTATGAATATAATTGTAACGAAAAGAATGTAATATAGATATCGATATTCTTACGAAAGAAGTTTATATCGCTTGTAAATTTGAAGGAAGGAACAAATTATATATATATATATATAATTATATATATATAGTTCTCACGGATTGTATCATTAAAATTGTACAGGAAAATAATTTTTTCACTCAAGAATAACACTTTCTAACATATTAATCTGACATTTTTGTTCTTTTTTGTTTTTAGTGGAACGAAAAGAAATACTCATGCGCAACAACGTGCAATCTTCTTCATTGTATTTTTTTTTTTTAACGTATATAGGTGATTATTTTTTTATATTTAATATTCATGTATTATAAAAAATAGAATTTAATATTATCGCATATGTGAAATAAAATTGAACCAATGTTAGTTATTTATAGCAAGACTCTTTTCATTTACAGCTAGTTTGTTAATTAATTCTCTAACGCAAGTTTCTTTTCAGTAACATGCGCAACTTTTTCCAACGGCTATGTAAAATATTCCTCGCGAGAAGAATAACATGTGCGTTTCTATCTTAACAGACACACGTACCTAGGATGATACTGTTGTAGATTACGTGATTAATGATCACGATAATTAATGATTAATGATTGATACCTAAATCCAATCCGAACCAAATGTAGATTTATTCGCAGTGTCTGGTCAGTTTAACAAATCGACCAATATTTACCAGATTGCACGACAATATCGTCACGAATAACGGTCTATCAATCATTTGGTTTATAACATATGCACTGTCAACTGTGAGTATTAGGACACACTTTTTGCTTCACTTTGTAATTAATTCGATAATTTTTTCGAACAATCTCTTCTCACCGTGCAGAGTACTGAATAAATATGAAATTTACTAAAGTTTTCCAGGTGTCTTAATACTTGTGACCAGCAACATAAAAAGCTTTGTATATTCTGTACGGAACAAATACACGCGAAAACCTCTCCTCCAGCTAACGAAGTTCTTTTTTTTCGGTTTTAGGCGCGATCCGCTCGAGCAAACGTACCTCGTGGTGCAAAACGTTGACAAATATTTCCTGCTACCTGTGGATCACAAAGAATTAATAGAAAAACCCGGCGGAAGGTTATCCATCGGAGGGGGCATGGTCATCAAGTCGGAGGAACACGATATACCGGAAGAGACGTCTGAACAATTAATCGAACCAGCCGAACCAGAGAGACCTCAGACTGACGAAACTCCGCAATCACGTACTGACGTGCCTGTTGAAATGCCTCTGCAATTGTCACAGTGGTTCGAGCAGGGTTCCAACAGTTCCGGTTCCGGAAGCATTCCAGCATCGTCCGCCGGTAACAAGAAGACGTCCAACTGCTGCGACTACTGTTCTAGGGTATTTCGAAGGAAGTACGAATTGAAGAGACATTTGGCGACTCACAGTAACACACGGGTCGAGTGTTCGGTGTGCCATCAGTTCTTGAAAACGAAGAGGACGTTGAACCTTCACATGAAGCTACACGAGGAGAGCGACAAGATGTTCGAGTGCTCGGAGTGCGATTTCAGGTCGAAGCGAATGCCAAGTATGAAGCGTCATCAGATCAGGAAGCACTCGATGCACGCCAATTTCAAATGCGACATATGCTCGAGGGTGTTCAAGTTGAACAGCGATCTGACGAGGCACAATCAGCTGAAACACCTGATCGAGCCGTGTTGCTGCGACATTTGCGGAAGGACGTATCGAAACATGTTCTTCCTTCGAAAGCACTGGTACTTGGCCAAGAAGCGGAAGAAGTCTTGCGATCGTATGCGTTGGAGAGGAATTAGGAGCCGGAACGTGGACTATGCGACAGCGCAGAAGAAGGCCGAGTCGATCCAAGTGTATAATTGTCCCAAGTGCAAGTGGCGATTCAAGAACAAAAGTTTACTGGACAGGCACATGCAACGACATTTACTCAGCTTTAACTGCGAGACTTGCGGAGCCGTGTTTAAGTATAGAGCTTCATTCTTGAAGCATCAGGAAGCGCACAAAAACGATCAAGAGTAAATCTTTTCTTTTTTCTTTTTTTTTTTTTCTTCTTCTTTTCTACTTTTACCTGTAATTTTGTATTTTTGCCTTTTTGATATTGTAACGCAGGTATTATTCTTTTTAATTGTTTCGCTACCGTGGACGATACAACTATGTCAGTTGTTAGTGGAATACCACCGAGACGAGATATCTTGCTTTGTGCTGCTTGTGCAATTCCAAATTTCAGTTGTTTAGTGACATTACACGGCCAATATATTCGAGACGAGATATCTCGTCCATAAGAGCGAAATAATTAAATCACAGCACAGTATAGCATAATGAAATCACTTTAATAAAATTCATTTGCTTATATACGAGACATATGTATGTTTATTTTATTTATTTCAAATGTTGAGGGGAAAATGTTTGAAATATTCTTTTGCGAAAATATTTCATTGACGAAGACTGTAAGTACAAAATAAAGTAACGTAAGAAACATAAATATTTCTGAAATTGTATGTTTCTCTTTTCTTATAAATATTGTAGTGTCGTTAAATGAATTTCAATGCATGAAGACAGGAATTTTTATGATAATTTGTGAAACACAGGGTAGAAAAAGTAAGTATTATAATTTGATAATAATAAGTATGAATATTTATGAAAATCAGAGAAAGAAGATGGCTAGACTTTATTATTATTTAGATGAAAAATAATATATCTTTGGAAAAATATCAAAAACAATTATCTACACCAGTATGTGATGAATGAAAAATATATATTGAAGTTGAAGAAAATGTCTTTGTTGTCTTGTTTTTTTTTTTTTTTTTTNTTTTTTTTAATAAAATGTTAAGATTTCAATGAATATTCTCTAAATGCCGGGATACAAGATTCAGTTTGTGTTATTTAAAATCTTCGATAAAATTCATTTTGTTCAGAGTCTTCAGTAAAATTCAGGTTTTCCGATTAAGCTCTTGTAAGTAATAAATATTCGACTATATTTATTAATATGATAGCTTATAATTTATTTTATAATGTTAGGGATGGATTTCGAAATTTCGAAACTCGAGAAAATTTCGTGATTCGAAACTCTCGAAATTTATTTTCATTTTTCAGTAATTCTGGAATGACAGTGTAAAATATCTAAATCTCAAAAATATCTGAATCAGATATTTTTGTGTTTATGTAAAAATATATACAAAAGTAATAAATACAGGTAATTTCAGTTCTCGAAGCAAGAAATTTCTCTTGCAAAATAAAACCAGCACTTCAAGTTTCGAGAGTTTAAAAGTTAGTTTCGAATCCATCTCTAACGTTTACGTCATATGAAAATATCTCGTCCTATCTCTTAACGAAAACCTAGCTGTAAAATACTAGAAATATTCTATCAACTGTAAAATAGAAAATGTATTTTAAAAAATTGTATCATACAATCAATTCATTTCTACTTTCATGCAAGTTTTAATCAGAATGCAGGAAGAAAAAGACAAATGCTCCAACAAGAGTGAGCACGAAGCAACTTTTACTGACTTTTTTTATTCGTGTTTTAGGAAACCAACGCAACGTTTAACGCCGAAGAACAAAGCCGCCGCTGCTAATCGAACGAAAGGCGAATTAAAAGCATCTTCGAGCATTCTTCAAAGACGAGTTGCGTTTCGAGCCTCGGAGAACCACAGACGCAGAAGCGGCAGACTTTTGAACAACTCCAGTCGGAACAACGAGACGAAAGGCGTAAATTCCAAGCATAAAACAGTAAACAACGAAGAGAGGACTTCGTCGAAAAATTCTACGAGCAAGAAATTGTCACCGAATGCCACCAGTTGCCCGAACGAAACCAGGCAAGAATCTAACGACGAACAGGAAGATCTATACAAGAAGCTGCACGACGGTAGTTATACCTGCGACATTTGTCAGACGACGTTCGAACAAAAGAGAAAGATTCTCCGTCACATCGCCAGCAAGCACAGCTTTCATCGGCCGTTCAAATGTTCCACGTGCGACAAGACCTTCTTGTACAAATGCGACTTGAAGGCTCATCGTTCGATCCACCAGGACGTCGACTCGAGTTTGCTCCACTGCTGCGACAAATGCGGCTACCGGACGAAGGCGAAGAGCAACCTCAAGTCCCATTACATCAGACGGCACACCGACGACTACAAGTTCGCCTGCGAGCACTGCGGCAAGCGTTTCAAGATGGAGTGGGACCTGAAGTTCCACGTCGGGACTCACGGCAGCTCGCAGCACATGTGCGATATCTGCGGCAAGTTCTACACGAGCAGCTACTCCCTGTACAAGCACCGAAAGGTGGTGCATTTGAACGAGTACAAGTTCCAGTGCGGCGTTTGCAACAAGCGGCTGTTGACGCAGGAGAACCTGGACAGCCACATGCAACAGCACAGCCGAACGTACGAGTGCACAGAGTGCGGGAAGGTGTTCGCCTCGAAGAGGTATCTGGCCACTCACACGACCACGCACACGGGCGTGAAACCTTATGCCTGTCACGTTTGCGAGAAGAACTTTCGTACGTCCCACATGAAGAACATGCATCTGTTGACGCATTCAGCGGAGAGGCCGCACGTCTGCGACCTCTGTGGACATTCCTTCAAGAGGAGGACTTACATGATTGAGCACAGGAGGAAACATCCCGACGCTCATTTGTCCTCGCCACCTGTGCCACTTGGCAGGAAGAGCGTCAGCGAACTGACGGTGTGATCGAGATTCCAAACAGAGATTTCTTTGCGATGTTATCGTGTGTGTTTGACAAGTGACGACTTGACTGCGGATTTTTTATGCATTTATACGAGATGAGAGTCAATCGAAGTTTCTATCCTCGTTACTTACTCGTGGCGAGTATGTAAGGATTCAAGCACTGAAGCTACAAAAGTTCACTGTGCAAAACTGTGCGTGATATTCAATGTGTACGTTCGACAGGGAGAAAAGAAAAATGCAAAACTATAGAAACATGAATTTGCATAAACATCGGCAGTCCATTGATAATATTCATAATGACTTTGATAAACACATTTGTTTAGACTTTCGTACTTACCTCCGAATGCTTCGACAGTGCGTGTTTTCCTGATGAAAATACCTTGTGCCATTTTAATTTATATTTGTACGGAGAAACAGTGTAAATCGATCCGAGATCGAATCGTAATCGTGTGATTGTAATCGAGAGAAAAAGTAACGTAATGTTTTACGATACAAATGAAAAACAATTAATATTAAGCGTGTAGAAGACTGTAAAACAGCTTATACATAGAGAACGAAGACGCGAGTAAATATTTTCAAGAACGCTGCCGATGTTTCCGAAAATATTTACTCACCTGCTTTAACCTACAAATATTCTCGTGTAATTATTTTTATATTTATCCCACCTTCGTACGTTTGACGTTTCGCGTTTCTTTCCCAACGGTCTCTCTAATTTTTATACAATCTCGTAATGCGCATTCGAACAATCTAACACGAAGATATCAATAAAGGCAATCGTAGTGAGAAATTTAAAAAAAATATATATATAAAAAAGAAAAAAGCCACTCCCAACCCGTATCGTAATTTCTATTCAAACAAAAAAAAAAAAAAATAAAAAATCCGTAAAGACGACTTAGATCAGCAGTAAGTAACGTTCGTATACGAGAACAGTGGACAGAAGTCTTTCTTTCAAAGTAATCATTCCTGTTTCTCTTCAATTGTGTTTTAGGCAACGATCTCGTGGCAGCAACAAAATCGTCACCACGGATCCTTCCGGCCGATTCATCGTCGGCAAAGACTCCATGCCGATGCAGTTGTTGCAGCACGCCGATCCCGATGGTAAACTGCACTATTCGTTGGTGCCCGCTGCGTCGTTGGACGACAAGAAAACGCCGGGATCCTCGAGAGAAAATTCCGCGGGAAGTGGAATCTCCGTGACGTGCGTGAAACTGGAGAACGAGGAGCAGCAGAGTAACGCGAACGCGTACGTCGCCGACACTGTGGTCCACCTGTCTTTATTTCAAAGTAATCATTCCTTTTTCTCTTCAATTGTGTTTTAGGCAACGATCTCGCGGCAACAAGATCCTCATCCCGGATCCTTCCGGCCGATTCATCGTCGGCAAAGACTCCGTGCCGATGCAGTTGTGGCAGCACGTCGATCCCGATGGTAAACTGCACTATTCGTTGGTGCCCGTTGCGTCGTCGGACGACAAGAAGAAAACGCCGGGATCCTCGAGGGAAAATTCCGAGGGAAGTGGAAAGTCCGTGAAAATGTGCGTGAAAATGGAGAACGAGGAGCAGCAGAGTAACGCGAGCGCGTACGTCGTCGACACTGTGGTTCACCTGTGCGAAATGACCATCGACTTTCACGCGTGCGACAAATGCGGCATGAAATTCCCGGTGGAGAGCATGTTAAACAGGCACAAAATGTCACACAATTTGAACTCGTGGCTTTGTAGAAAACGACTGAACTCCTCCGGGCTTCTTCTACTCCTTTCTTCTTCAAGAGGGAGACAGATGAAGCAGGTACAGTCGCAGAAACCGACGCAGAAGAGAAAGTACGATTGCACGTCCTGCGAGTTCAGTTGCAGTAGGAAGTCAACGTTGACCGTTCACGTTCGAAGGAAGCACAAGTCGTCGGCGGCGAAGGAAGATTCGGAGAGCTCGTGCCTGATTTGTAACAGAAACTGCGGCAGCCAGTCCAATCTGACGAAGCACATGGCGGAGCACAGAGGCAGAAAGACGACTCACTTTGCGTGCAACAGCTGCAGCTTCGCGTGCAGGAGAAGCAGCACTCTGGCTTCTCACGTGGCGAGGAACCATCGGCAGTTTGCCAACGAGGAAAAGATCTCGACGAAGAAGTGCAGGGCGACAAAGTGCAGCGACGTGCCTTCAGAAAGGGAAGAGGCATCGAAGGAAGCTTCCTCGGAGGAGCAAGACAAAGACTCGGGTTTGGTCGTTCCGGGCACACCGTCCGTGCTCGAGTGCAAGAGCGGGCCTTCGATGAGTACTCGCGCGAGCAAGAAACAGAGCAAGAAACCCGGTAACGAGGAACAGTGCGACCTGTGCGACTTCAGATGCTCGAAGAAAAGCACTCTGTACTCGCACAAGCGGCAACACAGGATCGTGGACGTCAGCGAGGTGTACTCGTGCAACGAGTGCACGTTCAAAACCAACAAGAAATCATCGCTGTACTCGCACATAAAGCGGAAACACAAGGTACCAAAGTCTTGCGCGTCTGACGGCCAGCCGCAGTTGTTCTACTGCAGCCAGTGCGACTACAAGAACAAGAACAAGTACGAGCTGAAGGTGCACGTGGCCAGGAAGCACACGGACGATTTTAAATTCTCCTGCGAGACTTGCGGCAAGAAGTTCAAGGTGAAAGGCGATCTAACGAATCACATACGCTTCAGCCACAAGGAGCAGCCGGTTATCTGCGACGTTTGCGGCAAGACGTGCTTGAACAGCAACTCTTTGTACGTGCACCAGAAGTTCGCGCATTACAAGGCCAAATACGAGTGTCAAGTGTGCAAGAGGAGGATGGTGACTCAGGAGAATCTGAACGAGCACATGATCAGGCAGCACGAGAAGAGAGAGAACGTGGTCTGCGAGGAATGCGGCAAGACGTTCTCCAGGAACAGTAGGTTAAAGGTGCACATGAGGATTCACACCGGCGACAAACCGTACACGTGCACAATATGCAACAAGTCGTTCGCGCGTAAAACAGCGTTGAAGCAACACCTATTGATTCACACCGGCATGAGGCCTTACGTTTGCGACATCTGCGGCAAGGCGTTCACGCAGAAGCCTGGATTGATCAGTCATAGGAAATCTCATCCTGGATCGCATCCCCCGCTTCCAAGAGTGTTGATCGACCATATATTGAACGATGTGATGAACAACTGAGTTCGTTGACTGTATAAACGATTCGAGATGGACGACTGTGTTTCAGTGCGGAGTCTGAATCGAGAACAGTTGTACAGTGAACAGTCTCGTGCAATTAACGATCATAATTTTATGATTTATGTTGTTACAGCATAAGAAGATTAATCCTGTTGATATTTTATTTTATTTTTCACAAAGTGCATTTTTTTTCTATATATATATATATATATAGATATAGATATAGATATATAGTATTCGTCTGGAAAAATGGTACAAATTTTTACATTCTATTGAAGTTTAAAATAAAATTTTAACACACATTAACATCACTAACATTTCTCTCAAATTAAAGATCTCGCCACTTGTACCATTCTTCCTCGCATAAAAGATTCCTTTTTCGTAAAACTATGAAAATAAATTGAATGTGGATTGTGATAAAAACATGGACTACAAGAAGAGAAACAATGTGAGGGAACATTACATGTTACTTCTAACTATTACGTGTATGCGATAACATATCACCTACGTTATTTTTGCAGTTATTAACATTATCATAATACGCGACAGAAATTGAACATGTTTCTAGAAAAAGAATTTCTACATTATTATAATCAAACGATTGTTTGAATTCTCATCGGAGTTCCAATCAATTTAACGTTAAATTATTTATAAAGAATATTACTTTACTTTCGTTGATACATGTTAATATTACTGGACAATTTGTTTGTAACACTTCGAGTGTACATGCCTTGAATATTTGTAAAACACGTGCTACAAGATTTTCTTTTTTACTGTAATATATTCAGCATTGAATCGAAACTCTCAAGGGTGTTGTATCCAGCAACGATGTCAAATCTTCATTACAGCTTCGTTTAAGGAAAAAAAAAATGTCTATCGATCAATCTCATTGAAGTTCTTCTCCACTTTCGTTTGACTAACTATCGATATTTACACAGCAATTGGACAATTTGTCTGCAATTGTAAGCCCGACACCTGACTCTTCTTCTCTCGTCTGTGGAAACCTATACCTTAGACTCACGTACGTGGACAAGTATAATTTACAATTATGTATAATCGCAATGACGACGATTCTAGCCATTATCTCGCGCATGTGTGTGTGTGTCGAGATTCTTTCGTGTATCTCGCGATACATACAAACGACAAAAAAAAAGAAAGAAAGAAAGAAAGAAAGAAAAAAACAGCAAGCGAATGATCACGAGTTGTCGACGAAATAATTCAGCAACTCGTTCGTCAAAGTGCCTAACTGACTTGTTCTGTACTTTTCAGGTTGCTAAGCCGGGACGGATGTTTTATATACGGCAAGGAATCGATTCCCATGCAACCGTGGCAAATAGTGGACATTGAGGGTTGCCTCTACTATGCCTTCCTTCCAGCGAATCAAACGCCGAAGCTCGTCGCGGACCTCCGCGAGAAAGCGATCGGGAAATCAGCGGCTGACGACGACGCGGAAGAGATATTTATGATCCCGGGCGACGGCGAGACAAGCGATGATCTCTGTTCCGTCAAGGTGAAGAAGGAAGAGGTCGACGACGACGTCGCGTCGGCGAACGAGGACCACGACGTGTACGACGACGCGAAAGTGTACGCCTGCGAGGAGTGCAACATCTGCTTCCCGGTGATGCAGATGTTGAAACGGCACCGGAACGCGGTCCACGAGCAAGCTCAACGTTACAAGTGCAAGGTTTGCTTCAAGATATGCCGCAGTTTGGTCGCTTTCAAGATGCACGTCGCTCTGGAGCACAAGACCGAGGAGGAGGACGAGGAGGCGAAGGACGCCGAGAGTCTGACGTACTCCTGCAACTTTTGCAACTACGAGAGCACGAACAAGTCGACGCTTCACTCGCACATCAGCAGGAAACACTCGAGCAAACGTATGAGCAGACGAAGGAGCAGCTACAGGTATGCGGCAGCAGCGGCTGCGGAGCCCGAGGAGTATTCGTGCGACGTGTGCGAGTTCAAGTGCCAGAACAGGCGCCGACTGAAGGAACACCTGGAGCGGAAACACGCGTCGGAGTACAAGTACGACTGCGAGTATTGCGGCAAGAAGTTCAAGGTGAAGGGTGACATGAGGCTGCACGTGCGATTCAAGCACAAGGAGGGGCCGATCGTGTGCGACGTGTGCGGGAAAACTTGCTCCAACAGCAACTCGCTGTACGTACATCAAAAGTGGGCGCATTTCAAGCCAAAGTACGAGTGCGAGATCTGCAAGAGGCGCATGGTCACCCAGGAGAATCTCGACCAGCACATTTTGCTGCAGCACGAGAGACGGGAGAGCTTCGTCTGCGAGGAGTGCGGGAAATCGTTCACGGAGAACCATCGGCTGAAACAGCACATGATGACCCACACCGGCGACAGGCCGTACGACTGTCACATATGCGGCAAGGCTTTCGCACGTCGCACCGCGTACAGGCAACATTTGCTTATCCACACGGGCAAACGACCGTATATCTGTGATATTTGCGGCAAGACGTTCACGCAGAAGCCTGGCCTGATCTGCCACCGGAAATCGCATCCCGGCGTTCATCCACCGTTGCCCGTCGTGCACATAGAACATATCCTCAGCGATTTTATGAAGAAAGAATGATGGTGACGCGGAACCAGACGCGTGCGCCGTGCACGTTTTAACGAAGGGACGAAGCGACGTCGTTGAATGTGAAAATTTAATCTTAATCCAGATATCTTCGAACGTTTGATTCTCTCTGAGCCGAGATCGCCGTATCTTCGTCAAAGAAGTTTTATTTTCTGAGTGGTTCTTAAAGTTGCATAATAATTTACTGACATTAACAAATTGATTGGTTATTATTCGTATCATTTTGTATTCTTGATATGTTGATACTGCAATTCATTTCTTCAATTTTGTGGCATTAAAATTTAAAAATTATATCGAATCTTTACAGACAAACTTATCCTTGGAGATAACTGACGACTTGAGATCGAATGAGTTCATTAATTCTGTGTTGATTGAATTTTCCTGAAACATTAAAACTTTCTTTCTATCAATTGACATTCAAATTTGCCTCAAAGTGTTAGGCAGAGTTGAGAAATATTAAGAATTCAATGACTACAGAATTAACAGAATTAAATTTTCGTATTACACATAATGTCGGTTAGGTTCTACAAACCTGTAAGGAAGAATAATTGAACAGGTGCTAGAAATCGTATTGCTTTGTATTCATCTTCCTGAGAGAACGATACACATATCTGGATTAAGAAAAGGTTTTCGTGTCCTTCGCACCGAAAGATTTTATATTATCTAGGTTCAATTAAAATGAAGCTGTTGAATCGATTGCAAAGTCACCAGAAAGAGAGCGTTTGTCTTCCTGGGTTTATTATCCGCACATCGTTAATTGCAGAGTTCTATCTATAATTTTGTATAAGAAAATGACGAGAGGAGAAGCTTAAATTTTTTCATCCTTTAAACTCAACTATTTAATGTTTACGATTGAGCATGTACGTCAACACTGAGATTTACCAAGGATTTTACTTGCTCATGTTCTCGTTCAGCCTCATACGTAGAATTAGGCAAAGAGGAAACTATAATTTTGTACGAATCAGTTTGATATGAAATTGTGCGAAGCGAATCAATCGAGGGAACAGACATGTTGCGAAATATATTATATACAGAATGAGATTATAAGAATTTATTTTGGGCACAATCTCGTGGCAGAGATATATATTTTTCTTGACTATCGTCCAAGGTTCTTCATAATTGTCCGTCATTATTTAAAATAAAACAACATGATTTTCAATACGATCGAAGGTGTACTCATTTGTGCGATACAATTAATATAATTTTTATTTTACTCGATCGACTTGAACGTGGAAAACGTATTTAATTTTCTTCCTTTGAACTGGAATTACCTCTCGTGAGCAGTGAACAGTGAGCGATTTCATCTGCACGTAAATGCAAAAATGGACGTGCATTCAAGTTAACAAAGTTAGAAAATGTGAAGTTACATGCAGATAAGTATAAAAAAAAAAAAAAAATCATTTAACATTGACCAACGTAACTTATGGTATTTATATAAATAAATTTCAAGGTACCCAATGCCTTGACCAATGTGCTAATTTTAAATTTAATCGTATCTACGATTTTATGTTTCAGGGAATTCAGTACAACTATTTCGGGAAGCGGTAGGCTCATCTCTAACAATTAATCAATAATTGTGCATCCTTGAAGTGCCATAAAGAGAAACGATTGCCTCTATTATGGATTTTTGCCACTTGATTACACCATCAATAATATAGTTAAAAATACATTGCATAACAGCATTGAAACATCTCGAACAACAAGCGTTTCAACTGTAATCACGGAAATTTCTTGAACAACGCTTCATTTTGTTGATACAAGAATTGGAAGGATCGTTTCACGTCGACTGGTGAATCATCTAGAAATTTTCTGTAACTTATTTTATTCAAGTTCCAATCGACGTTTCAAGAATACAAAGTGCAATTATATTCCACGAACATTGTCAGCCGTTTATAATCTACTGCGTGTACCATTTTGCATCGAATAAAAACACGAACCGTCGCCATTATCCCTAAAAGAATAGAATAATAACTTGCTAGTGCTAGTCTCTCTATTTTCACGCCAAAACTCGTCGTGAACTATTAACCTCGACTGTAAGTAATCATTGACAGTAAGTACCGCCCTTGTCAGAACCGTAATAAACCTTAACAATTCTCCTGTTTTAGGAACAGATCGTCCCAGACGAGCTCCAACTGTCAACTTACGAAACCACCTACATCCACCGAAGAAACCGAGCGATCCAAGATGGACGACTCTAGCGACAATGTCCCGCTAGCGTGTGACATCTGTCAGAAACAATTCAAAAAGAAATACTTGTTGAAAAGGCACAGACTCGCCCACGAGAATCAGAGGAGAAGAAACGTATCGTCGAGAGACAGCTCTTTCGTGGAGCTAGCGTCTCAGAAGCAGGAAGCTTTGTCCTGCACGATCTGCGACTTTCGTTGCAACAAGAGATCGACGATGATCGCTCACCTGGCTGAAAACCACGGGGACTCGGGCAAGAGTGAGTTCACCAGTAAGAGAAAGTTCACGTGCATCGTCTGCGGCCTCGTCTGTTCTCGGAAGGAGACGTTGCGTTCTCACTTCGTGCGAAAGCACACGCAACGTTACGAGTACTCGTGCGAGCAGTGCGGCAAGGAGTTCAAGATCAAGGGCGACCTGACCACGCACACGAGACTGAATCACAGGGAACCGCCCGTGATGTGCGACGTTTGCGGGAAAACGTGCAGGAACAGCCACAGCTTGTACACTCATCAGAAACACGCTCATTACAAGGCGAAGTACGAGTGCCCGGTGTGCCGGAGGAGACTGGTGACCAAGGAAAACCTGGACCAACACGTGTTGACTCAGCACGAGAAGAAGGAGAAGTCCGTCTGCGAGGAATGTGGGAAGACGTTCTTCGAGAACCACGACTTCAGGAAGCACATGAGGATACACACTGGCGACAAACCGTACAGGTGTTCCGTCTGCGCCAGAGCGTTCACCACTCACAGTAGTTTGAGCCAGCATTTGCTGCTGCACACCGGAGAGAGGATTTACGTGTGCGACGTGTGCGGGAAATCGTTCGCTCAAAAAGCTGGCTTGATATGCCACAGGAAGATTCACTCTGGAACGCTGCCTCCTCTTCCTGTCATGCACATCGATCACATACTGAAGGAGTTCATGAAGAAGTGAAGATTTCCTTCGTCTTCTCTTTGCCGGAGAAGAAACGAGGAGGACTGTGTGTCAGATGGAATAAAGATGTTTTTCATTTTTTTTTTTTTTTTTTTTTGCTCTTTTTCTTTTTCTTTTTTCTCGTTTTCGTCGACAATCGCGTCGACTGCAGCTTGAAGAAATCGACGAAGAAGCAAAGACCAGGAGGCTGCATATTAGTTTTTATTTTTCTCTTGTTGAGAATCGCGTTGACTTTGAAGAAACTTGTCAAAGATTGATGTTGATGTGGTCGACAAATGTTGTGTCTGAACGAGATTTATATACGACTGTTCTACGAATGTTTTTTACCGACAAAGTTTATCAATGTTTCTTAAAAGAATCTAACATCGATTGTATCAGAGAAAAGAGAAGGATTCTCGACTGTGGAATACAATCGTGCGGATTTTTATGAAAATTTATATTTCGACTAATAGAATCGATCCTGTCGATTCGTTCTACGTAAAATGCTCAAGGTCTTCCATTGTGTAATGTTCTGTAAAATTTCCCGAACGCACTCGAAATAAAGCATAAACTTTCCCCCCCCGACCGACGACGCGTATCGATTCACGATTACCACTCTCATGCTCTGCTTCACTCTGTTCTCACTCTTTCCTCACTTTCAAGCATTCTTCGCCAATAATCTCCAAGTAGCATCTAAGCTAAACTGCAATAATAATAACCCCTTTCGACCTTGGTATTATTATCTCTCTTTCGTTCCCTTTTTTTTTTTTTTTTTTTTTTTTTTCTTTTCTTTGCGAACAACCCTAACCCAGAACTTGCAACCTAACGAGCCATTTAATCCGCTTCGAGCGAAGAAAAAGGAAAAAAAAAAAAGAACTTTGGCGCACAGTGCCAATAACTGAACGAAATAAAAGAACGAACGTAACCCTCTTTGAAAGTTTGCAGACGAACAAACGAACCGTAGGGGGATTGGAAACGACCCGTTAATAACGCCGCTGATCGATGATGTTTCAGGTACGAGTTCGAGGACCTCAACTCGCGCGGTATCTTTATCTACGACAAGGAGTCGGTCGTGATGAAAAAATGGCAGATCCTGGAGTTCGACGGGAAGCCGTACTATGCGTTTGTACCTGAAGACGACACGCCGTTGCCGGACGAAGATATGTCGGAGCTGATCGACGAGGCCGGCCAAGAGGACGAGAAGCAACTGGTGAAGATCGAATGCATGTACAACGAGGACGAGTTGCAGTACGATTCGTCCGACGAGAAACTGTACGAGGATCCTCTGAACAGGAACGCGGAGCAGAAAGACGACGATGATACGAAACCTATAATCTTAAACGGGACGATGGACGAAGAGGAGGCGGGCAAGTCAGGGTCGTCTGGCGACATTTACCAAGTCAGGGTTCAAGGTAGCATGGTAACTATCGAGAAACTGATGTCCAGCGACATGGAAGAGGGGAAAGAGATGGTGGAGTATCAGCAGGAGGACGAGCAAGAGGAGGTGTACAACGATCAGGAACAGGTGGATCAAATCGATCAGATAGATCAGATGGAGCAGATGGAGCAGATGGATCAGATTGAACAGATGGATCAAATTGATCAAATGGAGGACAATCAGGATCAGATAGACGTGGAGTATCTGGAGGAGGAAATCCTAGAGTCCGTGAACAATCACACGTCGCCGACGAAACGCGGCAGGAAGAGCATTTTGAAGAGCGCCGGCGGTGCGTTGAAGTGCAAGCTCTGCTCGGAGATGTTCAGCTCGGCGATTTCGTTCAGGAAGCACGTGGCATGGACGCACAAGAAGAAGGTGTGCATACAGGAGGACGGCGCGTACATCTGCGCGGTCTGCGACTACAGGACGCTGAAGAAGAGTCTGTTCGCGGCTCACTTGGAGAGGAAGCACGAAACCTGGTCGAAGAAACGACCGAACAACATGCTGTTCCCATGCGATGCCTGCGGTTTCGTGTGCAGGTCGAAACACTCGTTGCAGTCGCACTTCATACGAAAGCACACCGATCGGTACGAGCACCAGTGCAAGTTCTGCTCGAAGAAGTTCAAGGTGAAGGGCGATCTGACGAACCACGTGCGATTCCATCACAAGGAGAAGCCGATCAAATGCAACGTGTGCGGGAAACTGTGCCAGAACAGCGGCTCCCTTTACGTCCACCAGAAGTGGGCGCATTTCAAGCCAAAGTACGAGTGTCACATATGCAAACGACGCATGGTCACGCAGGAGAACCTCGACCAGCATCTGGTGTCGCAGCACGAGAAACGGGAGAAGATCGTGTGCGCCGAGTGCGGCAAGACGTTCACGAAGAAGGATTCGTTCAAGAGGCACATGGCGGTGCACACGGGTTGCAAGCCACATTCCTGCCTGATCTGCAACAAACAGTTCGCCAGGAGGTCCCAGCTGCGTCAACACTTGCTCATCCACACGGGCAAGAGGCCGTTCATTTGCGATATTTGCGGCAAAGCGTTCACGCAGAAGCCTGGACTGATTTGTCACAGGAAGACTCATCCTGGCCTTCATCCTCCGTTGCCCGTCATGCCGATCGCCGATATCGTCAAGGAGTTCACCGAAGGTTACGTGCAGGAGATAAACGCGCGTGAAAGCGAGGAGAGGCTCGAGGAGGAAGCGTAGGATTGTTCCAAGTTGTTCTCGTCGATCTTTCGATCTCCACCGACACTTTGATACTTAATCGAGGGCGAATGTTTCCTTGATCGCGATTACTAAATTTCCACGTCTGCATGCAAACAACGAGACAAGTAAAATTTTCGATTTTTTCAAACGACAACGTTTCAAACAGAGAAATTTCGTCGATCGGTCGCTGGAATTGCGACGATGCTTTTGTTCCTGCTCGTCGCTGAAGCATAGATTGGAGATAGGATAATTAAGAGTTGCGCTAGCTAATGTTATATTACTCGTAACGTATAAATTTCGCATTCGCCTCTTTCTTTAATTTTTTGAAATAATAATAATTGACACGTGTTCTCTCCGATAGAAACACTTTCTACTTTTCAGATAAAAATTTCGTTGAATGATCTCAACGTTGTAAATGATTAGCACTGTTGACGAAACAATTTTTCCGCGACACGAGATCGATCGTTCGTTAGAATCACGTTGTTTGCGATACGGGTCTATGCTTTAGCAGCGAGTAAGAGCAACATTGTCTCACCCTGGCTGTTCAATCGAACCGAAACAATTACAACGCGCGAACTAGAAAATTCCGGAATACTTTGTATACCATCGAGATTGAAAGATTAAAGACACTAGAGCGAATGATAATTATTTTTAGATGTAAGCATAGAGATGTAAGAATGTATAAATATAATAACAACAACCTTGTAAATTGAAGATTTACACGAAGAAAAAAAAAGGGGGGGGGGGAAGTATTTTTCTTTTTCAATTTCCTTTCGACCTCGAGGATACAGCTGAGTCCAGAGCCATCTGTGCTTCAATTCAATTTGCTCTAGTTTGTTGCAACAAATTTTTGGTTCCATTCGTTGAGGTGCAATTTATAGATACTGTATATACGTGTATACATATATGTAACAACAACAATGAAATGTTTCCTTTGCTGGCTGTAAGAAAAGAAAAAAAATATCGCGTATATATATATATATATATATATAACGTATACTTATACATATATATATATATGTATTATATTAAATATAACGTATACTTATATATATATATATATATATATATATATATATATATATATATATATATATATATATATATATGTATTATATTAAATATAACGTATACTTATATATATATATATGTATGTATTATATTAAATATAACGTATACTTATATATATATATATGTATGTATTATATTAAATATAACGTATACTTGAATATTTGAATATCACGGTGTTAAATGTTCTCGCCGTTGAATAAGATTAAAGGGAAGCTAACTACCACGTAAGCAAGCTACAACAACACCGAATGAACCGAATTTTCTTTGTTTCGGTGAAAGATGTGATCGATCGGTCGAATAAAAAGATGAGCTTATTCCATATGTCGTTGATAAATTTCTTGTTTGTATCGTTGATATCGAGATACGAAGATATCGCCATCAGTCTCTCGGTAGACGTCGTCTTCGTGTTGTTCTACTCGCGTTATCATGAATGTATAATTCGTTCGTTGTATTTCGCACGAGATCGTTGATACGTACGTACACGTTGTGATATTGTCTCGATGACATTTATTCTACTTGCGAGAGCTAGTCCTCTTAAGAGTGTAACTGTAACATAACGTAACCCTTTCCCTCCCTCTTTCTCCTCCTTCCCAATTTCACTCGGTATGGTATGTAAACGAAACGTAACGTTGCCTCCTTGTCTCCTTCACCCACGTTGTCACCCACGTTGCTAGCAATAAGTGTAAATTCGGCGAGAGAAAGGATGCTCGCGCGGCAGAAAGCACGCCTACGATGGCTATTTTTCTAAAAATCAATATCTAATGTTCTAATACATAAAGTAACACGCTGTGTATTGCTTTGAGTTTGAAATAAATATTTTTATCGAGCCTGATCTCTTCAACAACCATCCTCGCAACAACGTCGATCGAAGAAACGCGCGACGAAAGGAAGGAAGACGAAATGAAGTTGTTTTTCTACGTAACAATTTACATACGCGTTTCCGGCGTATAATATTTTCGAATGAGAGAAAAGAGGAGAGAGTATGGACACGCAAGATAAGTATATTTGATGTATTAAGCGATACGTCTCCGAAATAATCGATTGTTTTTTGTACGTTTGCAGGCTGCGACTCCGTTACGGATCGTTTAGAAGAGCGAGAAGGTATGACAGACACACTAGAATTATCTCCTAAGATTTTCGCAGGAAATTTAGGCTCGGGCGACCACTACGTGCCACGCGATCGAAGATCATTATGATATATTATTTTCCAAAGAATATGCATCTTCTTACGAACGTGCGTGTTTCTCAAGTCTCTTAGAATTTCTAACGATAAGCTCTTGGCATCACTTCTGATTCAACTTTACCTGTTAAGATCTCCCCGTCTCTCTGTCCAAGCCAACGATAACACGATCCCCTTGATTCTCTGTTTTAGACTCTTGGACCCTCTCAGCGAGCTGAAGGTCGAAGAGTTGCAGCTGGATCTCCCCGAGGAGTACGAGAGCTGGATCGGCAAAGAGAACTTCCAGATCGTGCCGATCATCAAAGAGGAAACAGAAGCGGAATCGTTCCGAAACAATCGTGACCAACAGTCGCCGAGAAAGAAGAGCGTAGCCGGTCAGCTGGAGTGCGACCACTGTCAACGAAAGTTCCTGAGGAAGAGCAACTTGGCCGAGCATTTGAAGAAACACAGGCACAAGTGTCCCGACTGTCCGAAGACGTTCAGGCTTCGCCGATACCTGGCCTCCCACGTCGAGAAGATCCATCGGCGTCAGGTGTACGACTGCAGCGTTTGCGAGTACAAGAGCAACAACAAAGGCACGCTGAAGAACCACTACATTCGTCTTCACACGACCAGCTACAACTTCGCCTGCGACACGTGCGGCAAACAGTTCAAGATCAAGAAAGCGCTCAACCATCACGTGAAGCAGAATCACAGCGACGCGCCGCCAATTGTGTGCGACGTTTGCGGCCATTTCAGCAAGAATCTTCACGCGCTGAAGGCTCACATGAAGTACAGGCACTACAAGCCAGAGTTCGTGTGCCGGATCTGTCGGAGAGGGATGACCACTCAGGAGAATCTCGAGCAACATTTGACCTGGCACGAGACAAGGGAGAAGGTGCTGTGCCCTACCTGCGGCAAGAGGTTCCGTGGCCGGGATCTGGACTCTCACATGCGAGTGCACACGGGTGTCAAGCCGTTCCCCTGTCCCGTTTGCGGCAAGTCGTTCAGGAGGCAGACTGCCCAGGAGCAGCACGTTCTCATACACACGGGAAAAAGGCCGTACGTTTGCGACATTTGCGGTCAGGCTTTCGCACAGAAACCTGGCCTGATTTGCCATAGGAAGCGTCATCCTGGACCGCTGCCGCCGTTGCCTGTCGTTTCCATCAAGAACATCGTCACCGAGTTCACCAAGGAGTACGCTATGAAGAACACGATCATTAAAATTGAATGAAGCTCGTGCGTGATGCTGAAGAAGGCTGTGAATGGACACGTTGAATCATCTAGGGCCAAACAATGTATCGTTGTAAACGTATAATTGTATACGTATAATTGTATACGTATTGTATACGTATCAAGAGCAAATTATTATGAATTATTATCAGAAGCGAAAATTGTAAGTCAAAAACATCGAAAGCAAATATTGTAAATCAAAAACGTAAAATGATTGTTTTTTTTTCTTTTTTATTTGAAAGTGTATATAAGTTTATCGCTAGAAATGTGTCTCGATATTTTCAACTTTCATGAAATTATGGATCTAGAATCTGGATTTGACAAAATTATCTGAACGATCTGTTGGTCCTTGATGAATCAGTGAGATGCTGAATGAATTATACGAAGAATACGTCGAATGTGCAATTTGTTCGTTGTTTCAAAGGATTTTGAAAGGAATTGAAACAGCGTGCTTCAGCCTTTTTATACATTTCGCGTCCTTGATTGTTGAACGTTATCGAATGAATTTCGTTGCACTTGTGTACAGAGACTCGTGTGCTTGACTCTAGGTGTCGACTGTAGTTTCTACAGGAATTTTTCACCGTTAAGTAGCACACTTGTAAATTTTTATATTACAACTATCAATTTTGAATAAGCCACGTTCCTACGCGAGCGAATACTTGAATTTTTATACATTTTAAGATTTCTAACGATACACCGTTGTTTCTATATTGTGTTTCGTTATCGAAGCATAAATTTTTAACTTTTGAAAACGTCCACCGATGGACGATGTTACTTGTATTTTTTAACTGTACTCCAAACTTTTTAATAAAACTTGTAAATTGTACGTATCATGGTGTTAAAGGTATTTGATAAGAGCAAAGACAGATACTTCGTCATTGAGAAAATTATTAAAAAAAAAAAAGGGAAGTAAGTATGAAGAAATTTCCATTGTGACGAGTATTTATTATCTTCGAACGATGTACAACAGAAAGAAAAAGCTGACGAATTTTCAATGAGAGCGAGAGACGAGAGATTAAACTAGACACGTATCTTAAAACATTCCTTGTTGCTTTACACAAACATCTCTTCTCGCACGCAAAAAAAAAAGAAAAAAAAATTTCTAACTGAAATATTCGTGAAACGTTCGTCTGCTAGAGAAACTATACTTCAAGTAAGTAAGCCTCTCCATACCGAAGCACTGTCAACACCGCCGTTCAGATACCAAGACCTAACCAAAACCTCACTTCAATCTGTTTTAGTTCGCCGGCGTTGGATCCGCTCAATGGCAGCGACGCGAATCCTCTCGAGGAACCGTGCACCATCAAAATAGAGAACTCGTACACCCTGGCGAAGACAGACCGAAGACGAGCGAGAAGAACGAACCTGAAGATCCGCGCTGCGACGATGCCTCGATGCCTAAAAACGATCAGGCCCGTCGAGTCCGTCTCGAAGTCTCAGAGGAGAGAAGAGAAGATTCACCCGAGAAAGACGAGACAGACGGAACTTGCATTGGAGTGTGACTTTTGCGGGAAGCAGTTCGACAGAAAGTCGTTTCTGGCGTCGCACATGAAGCAGCACAGACACCGGTGCAAAAGCTGCAGCCAAACGTTCAGGCTGCGAAAAGACTTGAAGGAGCATTCGGAGCGGGTCCACGGCCCGGTGTTGTACCCGTGCACGATCTGCGAGTACAAGAGCAACAACAGATGGACGTTGAAGGACCATTTCATCCGGAAGCACACGAGCAGCTTCGACTACTCGTGCGCGGTGTGCGGCAAGCAGTTCAAGATCAAGAACGACATGGTGCAGCACGCGAAGCAGATGCACAGCAACGCGCCGCCGATCATCTGCACCGTTTGCGGCCACGCCTGCAAGAGCGTGCCATCGTTGAAGGCGCACATGAAATACAGGCACTACAAGCCCGCGTACGAGTGCAGCCTCTGCAAACGTTGCATGACGACGCAGACCAACCTCGAGCAGCACTTGCTCTGGCACAAGAGGAAGGAGAAGGTGGTTTGCCCGACCTGCGGCAAGACATTCGGCCAGAAGAGAGACTTGGACCTCCATTTGAGGATCCACGAAGGCATCAGGCCGTTCTCATGCCCCGTTTGCGGCAAAAAGTTCCCGAGAAGGACCGCCCAGGAGCAACACATCCTGATACACACCGGCCAGAGACCGTACACCTGTGATATCTGCGGGCAGAAGTTCGCCCAGAAGCCGGGACTAATTTGTCACAGGAAGCGGCATCCCGGCCCTCTACCGCCGCTTCCCGTCATCTCCATCAGGAAGATCATCGCCGATTTCACTCAGGGACTGAACGATCCCGCCGTCGACAAGAAGGAGAACTGAGCGAAACCGAGTAAGTGCATTTGATGGGAAATTCGTGGGTTAGGTGATTTCTGTCCGTTTGGTGCTTACGAATGTAATATATACATACATAGTGTTTGTTTACGTTGTTTCTCGTTGTTGGTGTAATTTTCGATTTTTCGATCGCGTGGCCATCAGGTGGTATTAGACTGTGGATGTTTGTGTAATTTTGTATTTTATACTTTGTTTTATTAAATATTGTTTACTATTGATTGTTCTAGTTTTATATATATATATATATATATATATATATATATATATATATATATATATATATATATATATATGTATGTCACATGTTTCTGTGTATACTACGTGCACTCTGTAGATATTCTTCACATCTTAAATGTCGCGAAGAAATGGATAAATATCCGCGGTCTAGTGATAGTGATTCGTGCAACTTGATTTTTATTACATTTGTACGCCCTCTTGTTATTTATATGACGATTAAACAGTAATAAGAAATGAAAAAATACGCGTTTCTTTTTCTTTTCTAATCCTCACCTGGTGAAAGTTGAATTGCTTTTCACGTTCCGAGCACTCGAACGTTTCACTTTAGAAGAAAATGATTATTAGACTGCTGCAATTACAATCTCTTACGTGTCTCGAGGAAAGAAATGTCATAACGAGTAATTTGCATTTATCAAGGTTCGTACAAAAAATTGATTTACATACGTAATGTGAGAATAATGACACGTAAACGTTCAGCAAGAAGTTAAAAATATTGTATTTATATCTACGTTTCGCAATCGATCAGTTACAACTGCGCGTTGAAACAATATTATTATCGCTTGTAACTAAAAAGTAATTTGAAATAAATTTACGGCGGCAATATTCTAGAAAAATTCAACAGCTGCCACAGGCAATTTCACTTTCCCCGAAATAAAGATGAAAAAAAAACGTGCGAAGTTTCTCTCGTACACCGTCGAGTATCGGTAGGTATATAGTTTGAACTTAACCGAGAACAAAGAAAAGATCGCCGCCGAAACTGAAACTCATCGTCTTTGTAATGCGAGTATAAAAATAGCACGATAACGATCGTTCCAATTGTCACTTGTGTTTCATCGGTGCTTCTGTTTCAGGCCGCGAAGAATAACCTCCCGAGCGGTTCACGAGTGCGTGAAGTGCGGCGCCTGTTTCTGCCACACGAGGAAGCTGGTTGAACACCTGAAGAATCTGCACGGCATCGACAGAGCGTTCAGCTGCGACGAATGCGGCAAGACGTTCCGAAGTCCCATGAACATAGCGCGGCACAAGCTGATTCACACCGGCTCGAAGAGATTCGCCTGCGACTTGTGCGACTACAGATCGAACCAGAAGTCGAATCTCGAGAGCCACCGTCGACGGCACACCAAGGACTACTCGTTCAGATGCGAACGCTGCGGCAAGGGCTTCGTCCTCAGAACCGAATACCTGGAGCACGTGAACACCCACACGAGAAAGCAGCTCTATCGGTGCGATCATTGCAACAAGTCCTATCCTTACAAGAAGAACCTGACTAATCACCTGAGGACGCAGCACGCTGGCGTTCTGCCACCGGAAGTGAGAAACGACGGGCAGAGGCACAGGCACGCGTGCACGATCTGCCTGGAAGGTTTCCAGCGGAAATCGTTTCTCGAGAGACACTTGAAACAACGGCACGGACTGTCGAACGAAAGTGCGAGACACCTGTGCGATCTGTGCGGAGCGGTTTTATCGTCGAAGCGGCGGCTGATGGTGCACAGACGGGGCCACGCAAACGAGAAGATCGTCAAGTGCGATTTATGCGACAAACAGTTCGCCAGCGTGGAGAACCTCAGCGTTCATCGGCGTGTGCACACCGGGGAGAAACCGTACGGTTGTTCGCAGTGCGGACGAAGGTTCACGCAGAGAACGTCATTGACTCTGCATCTTAGGTACCATTCCGGCGAGAGGCCGTATCAATGCGTGGACTGCGGCAGGGGATTCGTTTCCGGCAGTTTCCTCAAGAAGCATCGAAAGATTCACGAGAGAGCGGCGCAGCTCGAGACTCGCGATTGCGAATGAGACGATTCATTTTTCTTTTTTTTTTTTT